ATAAAAACTGATGTTATTGATGTTGCCAAATGAAAAAGGAATCATTTTGTAACAAATGTAACATGAACTAAATGTAATGCAAAAGAAGTTTGAAATATCTGGGTAGTATATTTACTATGTACAAATAGTGGTTCTGTCAGTCAGCTGACAGGAAATTTCCCTTCAGCTCGATCAGTGGTAGAGTGTTGGCCTCCGGAACCTAGGGTCGTGGGTTCGATCCCAGCTGGGACACCTCATCTTTCCAATTCTTTCTTTCCTGTTACAGTAGAACGAACTGTTGGGGTTTTTTTGCGGGGGGGGNACAAAAGTGTGAGTTGACTACATCATCTAAATTTAACACCAGTTGATATGAGAAAGATATTTGTTTTGAGCTTTTTGTGATAAAAAGGTCGCATATTTTGTTTATAATGTTAAAATTAACATGATAAACGACAAACATACAAAGTGTTGTTTAAGAGAACAATCAGGCCTTTGGCAAAGTTATTTATAATATAGCACTATGGATATGAACGCCATTATTTTTAATCTTTTCCATTTTATTCTTCTTGAAATAATAATTTTGCTTCTGTGCATGTGTCTGATATATTGCTTGTTCAGGGACAGTACTTAAGTCAACGAAGCCATATCGGAGTCTGGAGAAGAATCAAACTGTCATTTCGAAGTTAAAATGTTTATCAATGATTTCAAATTGGAAATAAACCAAATATACCCAAAAGTGTCATTTTTCTATATAACTTTAACAAACTTTACCCCATCCCAAGGGGATAAAGTGCTTTAAGACCCTTCTATCTATGTAGATTATTTTTTTCCAGCATATCTTGATCTGGATAAAAAAAAAAATTAAGCCAACTTGACCCCTTTTAGCCCTGCCCCTCAGCCATTGGGGGCAGGCCCTGAGGCCCACCCAAACTGTCAAAGTATCAAACCGTCTTTTCATAGTTATAATGGCTGTCAAGTTTGCATAATTTCCATGGAAAATGAACCAAACATACCCAAAAGTATAATTTTAGCATAGTAAACTTCACCCCCTCTCCAGGGGCAAACATGGAGTCTGGGGGTCATGAAATTCACAATTTTGATAAAGCACTTCAAGACCCTTCCATCTATGACGAGTTTTGGATTCTACCCTATCTCAGTCTGGAGAAGATGACTGTTGAAATTTCTGGCTATATGATCCCATTTGGGCTCAGCTCCTGAGGATGACACAGGGTTAACAAGCCTTCTTGTGGAATTTATATCCCCCGCTTGCAGGACATATTGTAGGTTAACAGTATTGAGGCTAGGTTTAAACATGTGAGTATCGTGCTGTTGAGACATAATGCATAGCTTGAAACTTGAAGGAAAAAAAGGCCCTATACCTTATTGATTATCCGTAAATATGCACAAATCACATCGGTTGGCAAACTTAGCATGAGTTGGATGTGCATAAAGAATTTGGTTGAAACATCTTAACAATATCTACAGCAACAAGTACTAATTGTAATAGGGGACCCTTACAGATGTCCCCCAAACTGCCCCAATAGTCGCAAAGATGCATCAGAAAAGGATCACATTGCCATAGTACACCTACAATGTACATAATAAATTTGATTGAAATTAAGGAATTTCTAAATTGCAATCAATCAGAATCCTCGCTGTAGTTGCTATGGCAATGGAACGTATGCGATTGAATTTGCAGTCCCCTAATACCCCTATATACTAATTTTCATTGAAATCAAACAAAATCTAAATTGCGACCAATCAGAAGCCTCAGTGTGGTTGCTATGGTAACAAAACTTATGCAGATTTGTTCGCAGCCCCCTAATATCCCTATATACCTATTTCATTAAAATTTGAAAAATATCTGAATTTCCACCAATCAGAAACCTTTGTGTGGTTGCTATGGCAACGAAACCTATGCGTTTGAATTGGCAGTCCACTAATATCCCTATATACCTATTTTCCTCAAAATCGAACAATATCTAAATTTCGACCGATCATAAGCCTCCGTGTGGTTGCTATGGTAACGAAACTTATATGCGGTTTAATTCGCAGTCCCCTAATACCCCTATATACCATTTTTCATAAAAAAATATTGCACGGAGACGAAGTGTGACAGACAGACAGACAGACCAAAATGAATATCCCCTGTTTCGGTGAAAGCGGGGGATAAAAATGTCAAAGTATCAAACTGTAATCTCGTGGTTATAATGTAAATCAAGTTTGAATGATTTCCAGTAGAAAAAGAACAAAATATACCCAAATGTTGGATTTTCCTACATAAACTATAGTAAATTTTACCCATTCCCCAGGGACAAACGTGAAGCTTGAGGGTCATGAAATTCACAATTTTGATAAAGTACCTCAAGACCCTTTCACCTATGAAGAGTATTGGTTTCCAGCATATCTGGGTCTGATGAAAAATATTTTGAAAATTTAAGCCAATTTGACCCCTTTTAGCTCTGTCTCTCAGAGCCCCTGGGGGTGGGAACCATATAATTCACAATTTTGTTGCATATTTGACCAAGGATGGTTCCTGCAAAATTTTATTAAAATCGGGTCAGCAGTTTCTGAGAAGTCGGACAAAAGGCGACTAGAATAGGTCGCTTGAGACTTTGTCACAGGTGACCTAGAAACTACAAACTTGAATGATTTTGACCAAAACATCAGTGTAATGCAGGTCAAACACCAGTAAACTACAGTTAACACTTCTCCCCAAAGGCAGATCTGTTATCCTCAATAATGAAGAGTATTTGATTCCAACACCTGAACCCAAAGAAAAACTGTTGTTAAATGTAAGAATTTTTTACACCTACAAGGTATATAATTATATATAAGCCATGCCCTAATTAGCCCCTGGAGGAGCACCAGGGTAAAATAGCATCAAACTATCATCTCATAGAGTTTAATTCCAATCAACTCCTCCCCAGGGGGGAAGGTATAGTGCAAACTCAGCCCATTGGGTATTAAATTTCACAATATTGATAAAGCACCTTTTAAGATCCTTTCCTCTAAGAAGAGTATTTCTTTCTAGCATATCCGAGTCGCATAAGAAGACTGTAGAAATTTCAGCCTATATAATTCATTTTATCCCTGTTGACCCTGCTCCTCACCCCACAATTTTGGTAAAGCACCTTAAGTTAAGACCCTTCCATCTATGAAGAGTATATACGTATTTGATTCTACCATATCTGAATCTTGAGAAGAAGATTTTTGAAATTTTAGTCAATTTGATCCTATTTTGCCCCACCCCTCAGGCCCCTGGGGGCTGGCGACCATATAATTCACTATTTTGGTTGACCTTTGGCCATGGAAGGGTTCTGCAAAATATCATAGAAATTGGTTCAGGGGTTTTGGAGAAGAAGTTGAAAATGTAAATTGTTTACGGACGCACGACAGACAAAAGGCGATCGCAATAGGTAGTCTGAGAAATCTCAGGTGACCTAAAAATCAAGTCTATCAGCCTACAAACCAGGACCCCGCATTTCATTACTAAATAAAAGGCCAGAAAATCTCAAGGATGTCCCCGTGGATAACACTAAGAAACTATTTTACTCAAAAATTGAATTGGATGAGAAAACTCCCCTCCGCAGTATTTTGTACCCAACGAATCAACTAAACGAGGCAAAGAAAACGTTCGCAGAGGACAGACACCAGACGACAGATGACAGACGGAAGCGGATTGCAATAGCTCATTTGAGCTTAAAGCCAGGGGAACCAATATGACAGGACGGACGGACAACGCAACATGGACAGAGGGATATTTGAACAGATCACCATCAAAAAAACAAAAACAAAATATGCTGATAATTTTAATGATGAAAGCTTTACAGAGATTTGTAATACCTGCTCTGTTTAACATGGTAGTAAAGTGAATGACTAGAAATAAATATGATTTATTCTCCATCAACGATTGTCCCGTTGTTGATTATGGCATTATTTATTTCATTTTTGTTACATTTGCAGAGGAGGCTCCACACAGACAAAATTAACATGTTCCTTGTGACCTTAGATCTTGTGTGAGAAAGGAAATCAAAATATCTAAGGTTTAATTTGATTCTTTAACACAAAATGTAGGTATCTTGACTTATTTAACACCAATACCAGCATTCAAATTGGGTTTGATAAAGAAATTTCTTTATTTCCCATGTAGATAATATTTCAAAGAACATGACCCTCACTACAATTCTCCGTTCTCTAACAATCATCTATCACATTGTTTTCCATGGTGAAGAGCCTCCTTATCCTGCTTTACATATTTATGGCACAACATTGACTTACAAGAATTAAAAAATGGTTTCATAAAGATACATTTCTGCTTAATAAATTGTATATAATTGGTCAAAGTTGAAACTGAATGTAAATATAGAGAGAATTTACCACAGCTCAATGTATACATTAACAAGGGGCCCATGGGCCTTAACGGTCACCTGAGTCCTACAGTATTTATTTTTGTTGTTGAAATATGTACTAATTTGAGTAAAAAATAGTTATGTATAATGTTAACTTAACTTTGTCAGGACCATGAGCTGATCATTCCTACAAAGTTTCAGTTGAATCGGCCAAGTAGAACTTTACTTTAAGTTTGAAATAGTTTTTCAAAATGGCGTCCGTGGCGGCCATATTGGATTTCTGATTGATCTGAAAAATAACAACACTTTGTCAGGACCATGAGCTGATCATTCCTACCAACTTTCAGTTCAATCGGCCTAGCAGAACTTGACTTTAAGTTTGAAATAGTTTTTAAAAATGGCGGCCGTGGCGGCCATATTGGATTTCTGATTGACCTGAAAAATAACAACACTTTGTCAGGACCATGAGCTGATCATTCCTACCAACTTTCAGTTCAATCGGCGAAGCAGAACTTGACTTTAAGTTTGAACTAGTTTTTCAAAATGGCGGCCGTGGTGGCCATATTGGATTTCTAAACGACCTGAAAAATAACAACACTTTGTCAGGACTATGAGTCGATCATTCCTACCAATTTTCAGTTCAATCGGTCTAGCAGAACTTGACTTTAAGTTTGAAATGTAAAATGTTAACGGACGACGGACGACGGACGACGACGGACGAAAACAGATAGCAATAGGTCACTAAAAATCAGAGAAAAGGAGCAGATGTAGAAAAGGTTCACTCAATCAGCAGCCAAGATTTCGATATCTGATTCATGCATCATCACAGAAAAATAAAAAAACACAGCAGGGACCGTAAGGAACCTGTGTGCCAATGTTGGTGCCAATGGACACAGCCGCTCTTGGAAAGTCAAAAATATATCAGCAAATCAAATGGGAACAGAAAGTAACAACAGTTGGTCAGAACTGCTGCATATAAGGAACAGAAAGTAACAACAGTTGGTCAGAACTGCTGCATATAGGGAACCGAAAGTAACAACAGTTGGTCAGAACTGCTGCCTCTAGGGAACAGAAAGTAACAACAGTTGGGCAGAACTGCTGCATATAGGGAACAGAAAGTAACAACAATTGGTCAGAACTGCTGCATATAGGGAACAGAAAGTAACAACAATTGGTCAGAACTGCTGCATATAGGGAACCGAAAGTAACAACAGTTGGTCAGAACTGCTGCATATAGGGAACAGAAAGTAACAAATCAGTAGTCAGTCACTGCAGCCATTCTAGATAACAAATATAAAATGTCTCGCCCCCCATCACAGGATAGCCATCTAGGATTTTCAGATTGACATTTAAAAGACAAAACATGGACAGGACATGATAAAGAATAGCTTAACCAAGTAAATCCCTTCAATGGTTCTTCAGAAGGAACAAACAATTCTCTGCTTAACGTACGACGACAGACAAACAAGGATAGCAAAGCCTAAATGATAAATGTAATCATTCCAATCGGTAAACCAACGTCATCCATATCATAATTTCACACATTGTTAATCTAATATATATAAGTTTGAATTCAAAGTATTTTATACAAAGGCATGTATCACTCTCCTGTATTTTCAATCAGTCATGGCAAAATGTATTTATTTATAGTAACATTACAATTTTATCCCATTTTGGGTCTGCCTCTCAGTACCTAGGACAACCCCTTTCTTATAAAACATTCCATTTGCCTGTCCAAAGGATACTTCACAGCAAATTTAGTAAAAATATAATCAACTGGTCAAAAGGAGTAAGCTTTTAAGATTTAACACCCTATTGTCTCCTTTTGGGCATTGTTCATCAACCACCTAGAGAGTTCAGTTATAATCGTCCTTTAGATGAAAATGTATTTCTATGACCCAAGGACCAAGTGGTTTTTTTTTAAAAGCAGATTTGGATTAGATTTATATGTACAGGTATATGGTTATACTGCCTGGATTATGATTCTAGACCTAACTACACAGAAGTTGGGGCAAGAATATTTTGCTTATCCTGATAACATGAGTTCATTCTTTTTTTCCTGTCTAGCAGTGATATTTATATGGCTACAGGGTGGGAATCCCAACTGTTTCCATATTAAGACCCACAAACTAAGTCACCAGGAACCAAGGTGGACCCAGAAGCTAATCCGGTTAGTTTGATTGTGTTTATCCCTTCATGGCTAATAATTGTACAGATGGAATTTCAACATTTCCATGTTATAATGCAGGGATTTCAAAGTCACCAGTGGTGAGGCTGATCAAGGGACTAATCAGGATAGCATGATTGTGTTTATTTCTTCATGCCAAGAATTTGTATATGGTTATAGGGTTGGAATCTGTTTCCTTGTAATGGCTTAGGAGCTAGTACAAAGAGGCAGGAGCAGATCTAGACCTTGTGCCAAATTTTGGTGGTGGGAAGTTGTTGTAAGTATCTAATGACCAAATGTCATGACCCTCCGACTAATGGAATTTGAGAAGCAGTCTTAAAGTTCTTTTGTCATGAGAATATCTACAGGACAAAAAAAATCATCTTAATTTTCTTCTAAGATACAAAGCACCTCCAACTATGAATACAAGTCCAACAGTCCATTTGAATGCCTTATTAGGTCGCCTGCTCATCGAGGCTGGACGATTTTGTGTGCTGGGGCCGTACACAGTGTCCAGAAGTTCCGCGGCTGACACAATCTGTGGACGAAGGTGGTACAGGACCTCGTTAGCTGCCCGAAGACCTGCCTGTACAGCACCATTCATAAATCCACACCACACTGTGGCTGATTCTGTCCCAGCAAAGTGAAGTCTGCCAGAATAAGATGTAAATCTTCGTCAACAAAACAAACAGAACATAACAGTTGCTATAGAAAGTCAGTCTACAGATATAAACCATTGAGAAATGTGAATCATTTTGAAAATAATAGCTTACCGCCTGAATCTTTTACCATCACCTGTTTGTTTAAACTGAAGTAAAATGCTTACATAATAATGACAGTGTATGTCCTCACAGGTTACCATCAAAGGTTTTCAGTTTGAAAACAAAATTACAATTTATCAACTGTTAAATTGAGAATCCATTATATAAATTTCATAATTATTTTTTTAACTTTGGGCATTTCTGAAGCTTTACAAAGAATACCGGTAGCTATGTTTCAGTATACCTGGTTATTTTTAGTATCATAACACTTGTGGGTACTATAATTATAAGAGTTTATACAACAATGAATGTTTCCAATCAAATATCACAAACAACGTCAAAGCAGCTTCATCAAGTTATCCACATGATTTTTTTTTTATATCAATTTGATTTTCTTTCTTTTGGAAACAAGTGCTAAAATAAAATTGTGTGGATGATTTGTACTTTACAAAAACTGTCTTCTGTTGTGTTTAATTTTTTAAACTGAAAACAAGTACATAATGAATTTAGAAAATACAAGTTTACTACCAACACCTAATTTTCAGTTTCAGATAATATATGTTCAAATATTTAGAGTTATTTTTAGGTTTATTTAGATCTTCAGTGCTTACTTCATGTACGGATGTCGGAGCCCTTTGACAAGATAAGCCATGGTTCCAGGTGCGGCTGAGCTGGTGGGTGCCCCTTCACTGTAGGGTTCCTGTCCCCAGTCCTTCTCTATATAGTCCACATATGACCACACTTTGTGGCCAAAAAATTCAGACAGGGATTTCAATACAGCAGACTTTCTCTCCAAGGCCTGGAAAATGGAAATATTGCCAATCAAAGATTTGAACTTGTTACAAGTGATATTTGAACTAGTTGATAGTAATATCCAAACTTCAATTAATACTAACTCTTGCACTTTTTATAATAGTAATATTTGAACTAAGTAATGTTGAGAATTGAATTTGCTCATCAGAACAAGTGAATTTAACTAACAAAATTTCTTGTCATCTGGAAGGTATTTAGCAATCAGATAGATGTAATAAATAGCCCAGAAGCCTATATCTATAATGGTTTTGTCTGATTCATCCATCAGTATACTGGTTTTGAATAATATAATTAAAACAAGAGCACAGTATATGGCAGAGCATAACATGCGAGCGATAAAGTGGTGGCATTCACGCCCCTGGGGGACTGTATTAATGTTTATCACACTGATCCACTTTGGTACAGTGACATTAAAAAACTTCATGAAATCAGGTTGCCTTAGGTACCTGTTGGTTGCGCCACTGGATGGCTGCCTTGCCCCCTATGAAGGCGAGGAGAGCTGGACTCCCCCTGTAGGAGGTATTATCATACACAACACACAGGGGGCCTCGTTCACACCCCGACACATGTGTTGGGCCACCATCAGTCACTACCTCCCCAGACTGACCAGCTGATCTCCAGAATACCTGTCACAGATAATAACTCATACCAAACACCTGTATAAATTCACAAATTTTATTTGCGATGTTTTTTCATTGAACTGAAAAAACAGTTATTTCAAAAACATTTTTAAAATACCAAACAACATTATACAATCAATGACAATTGATCACTTGAAATTGAAATCTTTTTGAACACTCGGAACATGATTATTACATGACTTTGTGTAGATTGGTCATGTGACTGTCCAATAAAAATATAAATAATTTTTCACCGTTACATATCCATTTATCTGCAATATAAGGTTTGTTTCAGGGTGGTAAATCTTTTCTAGCTGTAATTTGTCTTGAAAATAATTACCTTCTTTAGAATAATTATGGGTGTTTTGTTGTCTCCAGTACCCATGCTAAGGGGAGACTACTCTGTCAAACTAAGTCACTAAAAAGGACAATCATACTATTTCAACCTGATTCTTTTCTTATAGTCCCACAAACTTCATTTTCGATAAGCTTTTTTTGTCACAGTGACTTGTGTTCAACAGCCTGCACAATAATTTAATGAGTAGGAAAATAATTACATAAAAAAGTGACTGCATGGTAAGTTGCCTTTCTATCCACTTAGTGTGACAGAGTAATCTGCCCTTAGCATGGATACGGAAAACACCCACATACTAAATGTGATGAAAATTTAAAAAGAAACAATGAAACTACCGAATAAAATTACAAACCAAATGAATGCTAATTGCTTTGTGGAACTGAAATAAACATTAAATTAAACACCATATCTAATATATGTAAAAATCTGAAGTGTTCATGGTTGGCTGTGGCAAGTGAGTGAAGTTTTTCCTGAAATATGCATAATCGACTTTTTTCTAAATGATAAGGAATAATTATGATTTTATAATAAATGTAATATTTAGAAAATAATTGAAGAAACTATTTCAAAAAGTTATGAAATTCAATAACTCTACTGAAGTGTCTTACCTCTCGGTACGTTATGATAACTTTGATAACTTACCTCTCGGTATGTTATGATAACTTTGATTACTTACCTCTCGGTACGTTATGATAACTTTGATTACTTACCTCTCAGTATGTTATGATAACTTTGATTACTTACCACTCAGTACGTTATGATAACTTTGATTACTTACCTCTCAGTACGTTATGATAACTTTGATTACTTACCTCTCGGTATGTTATGATAACTTTGATAACTTAACTCTTGGTACGTTATGATAACTTTGATTACTTACCTCTCAGTACGTTATGATAACTTTGATAACTTAACTCTTGGTACGTTATGATAACTTTGATAACTTAACTCTTGGTACGTTATGATAACTTTGATTCCTTACCTCTCAGTACGCTATGATAACTTTGATTACTTACCCCTCAGTACGTTATGATAACTTTGATAACTTAACTCTTGGTACGTTATGATAACTTTGATTAGTTACCTCTCGGTACGTTATGATAACTTTTCTTGGTATGTTATGATAACTTTGATTTCTTACCTCTCGGTACGTTATGTTAACTTTGATTACTTACCTCTTGGTATGTTATGATAACTTTGATTACTTCCCTCTCAGTACGTTATGATAACTTTGCTTATTTACCTCTCGGTATGTTATGATAACTTTGATTACTTTCCTCTCAGTACGTTATGATAACTTTGCTTATTTACCTCTCGGTATGTTATGATAACTTTTATTACTTATCTCTCAGTACGTTGTGATAACTTTGATTACTTACCTCTCGGTAAGTTATGATAACTTTGATTACTTAGCTCTTGGTATGTTATGATAACTTTGATTACTTACCACTTGGTACGTTATGATAACTTTGATTAGTTACCTCTCGGTACGTTATGATAACTTTTCTTGGTATGTTATGATAACTTTGACTACTTACCTCTTGGTATGTTATGATAACATTGATTACTTTCCTCTTGGTACATTATTATAACTTTGATTACTTACCTCTCATTACGTTATGATAACTTTGATGACTTACCTCTCAGTACGTTATGATAAATTTGATTACTTAACTCTTGGTATGTTATGATAACTTTGACTACTTACCTCTTGGTATGTTATGATAACTTTGATTTCTTACCTCTCGGTACGTTATGTTAACTTTGATTACTTACCTCTTGGTACGTTATGATAACTTTGATAACTTAACTCTGGGTACGTTATGATAACTTTGATTCCTTACCTCTCAGTACGCTATGATAACTTTGATTACTTACCGCTCAGTACGTTATGATAACTTTGCTTATTTACCTCTCGGTATGTTATGATAACTTTTATTACTTATCTCTCAGTACGTTGTGATAACTTTGATTACTTACCTCTTGGTATGTTATGATAACTTTGATTTCTTACCTCTCGGTACGTTATGTTAACTTTGATTACTTACCTCTTGGTACGTTATTATAACTTCGATTACTTACCTCTCAGTATGTTATGATAACTTTGATTACTTTCCTCTCAGTACGTTATGATAACTTTGCTTATTTACCTCTCGGTATGTTATGATAACTTTTATTACTTATCTCTCAGTACGTTGTGATAACTTTGATTACTTACCTCTCGGTACATTATGATAACTTTGATTACTTACCACTCAGTACGTTATGATAACTTTGATTACTTCCCTCTCAGTACGTTATGATAACTTTGATAACTTAACTCTGGGTACGTTATGATAACTTTGATTATTTACCTCTCGGTATGTTATGATAACTTTGATAACTTAACTCTGGGTACGTTATGATAACTTTGATTCCTTACCTCTCAGTACGCTATGATAACTTTGATTACTTACCTCTAAGTACGTTATGATAACTTTGATTACTTACCTCTTGGTATGTTATGATAACATTGATTACTTACCTCTTGGTACATTATTATAACTTTGATTACTTACCTCTCAGTATGTTATGATAACTTTGATTACTTACCTCTCAGTACGTTATGATAACATTGATTACTTACCTCTTGGTATGTTATGATAACTTTGATTACTTACCACTTGGTACGTTATGATAACTTTGATTACTTACCTCTTGGTATGTTATGATAACTTTGATTACTTACCTCTCGGTATGTTATGATAACTTTGATTATGTCACCCATTGGCATTCTTTTCATCATCTGCTGCTTTTCCGTCGGCAGTGGAGGACTGAATATTATTTTTCCTACAAACGTTAGAAAAGAAATATCCATATTTCACATCGCCCTCAATACTTGACCACATCCTCCTCTAAGATACCAACATGTAATGTTGAAGAAGATTAGCACTTCCCCAGTACATTGCCTTACTTTGGTTGCACTGAAATAACTACCTAAACAGTCACCTGAGTTGTAATATAGGTACTTTTCATTTTTGAGATATGAAGTGGAAATAATAATTTAAACAAACATTACTCATCATGTTAACAAAAGCAAAGTACTAAAAACTATTTAAATGAATTTGGTATGGAATGAGAAGAAAGAAAAAAAAATGCCATTTAGCCAATTACACCCCTTTTATATCCCTTTGAGTTAAGTCAGTGAGTAATGACTTCCACTCTTACACATTATTTTCACTGTGATGGTGTTAAATTAGTGAGTGCCGATTTTGTGACCTTGTAACAAACCTGTAAGTTGTGGTGGTGTTGCTATGACAACCCGCTTTGCAGTAACACACACTCCATTTTTACACGTGACATGAACACTATTGTCATCCTGAAATAGACAATACATATAATGGATCTCAAATAACTAACCATTTCTTTTTTGATTTATGAAACTATAAAATGAATGTAAGACATAAATGCTTTAAAAGTTGTTTAGTTTTAGTGAAGCCCTCTTGAGCTAACACATTAGTCATTTGATAAACTATTTAAATATTGTATGCCAGTAATTTTAAAGAGGTAACTAAATATGCAGCTGAAATTTTCAACATTGAGCAGCAAACACTGACTGAGGACATCCATATGGATATACATTGTGTTATTAAGAGGAGCATGTTATATGTTATTATGTATCCTATACACAGGGAGGTAACATCACAAAGATAAACAGATAACTATCGCAAGGTCACAAACTGTAACAGGTCAATAGACTACAGTAGAACATAATCTTTATAGACTACTGAGGTACATAATCTTTATAGACTACTGAAGTACATAATCTTTATAGACTACTGAGGTACATAATCTTTATAGACTACAGAAGTACATAATCTTTATAGACTACAGAAGTACATAATCTTTATAGACTACTGAAGTACATAATCTATATAGACTACTAAAGTACAAAATCTTTATAGACAACTGAGGTACATAATCTTTATAGACTACTGAGGTACATAATCTGTATAGGCTATTGAAGTACATAATCTATATATACTACTGAGGTACATACTCTTTATAGACTACTGAGGTACATAATCTATATAGACTACTGAAGTACATAATCTATATAGACTACTGAGGTACATACTCTTTATAGACTACTGAGGTACATAATCTATATAGACTACTGAAGTACAT